ATATACCTAAGCAATGCGTCAAACTGTACTACAGTCAACTATCGTTATCTCGACATCGCATTTCTCGATATTTCTTTATCTCGATGAAATTTTGAAAGTCCCGATTTTCTTCCTTCTTTATCTATTATTGGAAATATTTGTTTATCTCGATATTTTTATTTCGATATTTTCAGTATCTCGATTTAATATTTCAGCCCCAACAGTTATTTTCACACTATTATCCTTTGTTTATCTCGACTAATAGTTTTCTTTCATCTGTTCCCTTCTGACGTGTGAAAAACACGAACTAGAAATAAGTCTAAATGAATACAATAAAAACACACAGATTGATCCAAATAACTTGATAATTTCAATGAAAGAAAATATCATAATAATTTTATATAATTCTATGATATATCGCAATCAAGATGGCATATTAATAGTTCTCTTGAAATATGACATCATCAGTAGTGCATCACAAATCTCTTACATTAATAAATTATCATGCAATACAATGAAAAATTACATTGATGGTACACAGCATAACAACAAAATAGAGAAAAAATAATCCATAAAGAAAGTCCAACACAGCACAATTTAAAATGTTGTAGATTCGGTTTGATTTTACCTGTTCATGGACGATACTGTCAAATGCAAACTAACTAACCAGCCCCCCTAGCACCGGCTTAAACAGAATTCAACATTTAACATGAACTGACACAATTTGGAAACATCTGCAGATGTGTTCGTATGACGGTTGTCATGGAACCTTCAATGTGACACGTAAGTGACACGTAAGTGCAATTCAATGAAAGCGGCATATGGTCCCCAAGTAAAAAAAAAAACATGAACTTATTATATTTGGATATTGATTGCAATTCCGACATACATGTTCCGACATTACATATATTTATTAAGCAGATCACAAAGTGTTGAAGAACAAAATATCATTCAACATGTTAATATAAATATCCATACTTGATCATTGAAAACAGCATACTAGCAGCATTTTTGATACATTTCTATTCTTGATTTTCTTTCAATATTTTTAATAATTATAAGAGCAGCTGTGGCACTTCAAACAAAAACAATGAGAATCTTATTTTAAAATTTTAAGTCCCGATTTAGATAAAAGCGTTGCAATGTTTTTTTTTTTTTCATTTTTTGGTCATTTTGACAATTAATATATTTTTTGTAAAACAAATAAGTGAGGAATGATCTGAATAGAAAAAATTATAGGCGGAAAAAAATGTTTAAATCAATTTATTGATAATGAAGTATTCAACATGGAGATAATATTAAAGTGTGCAACTGAAAGAATTTAGTAGATTGTAAAAGGAAAATTATACACCTGGATCCGGTTGTTCAAAACATTGGTTGGTGTTAACCAGTTGTTAAATTCATCTGGATAAATTCTGTCGCTCAAAACTTATCCAACGGATAAAATGCGTTATCCAGCGGTTAACTTTAACCAGTGCTATAACCACCGGATAATGCCCTAAACCAGTGGTTAGTCATCATCATTAAAACACTAAAAATCATTAAAACTTCTTTAAAACAAGATTTTGATTGCAAATATATGTTTATTTTTCTTAACTAGATTATTTCATATGAAATGCATTGGATTAAGTTGAAACATTTCTGAAAAAGTGCTTTTAGAACCTTTTTTTCAATCTAAATTTGTTGTTGTTGTAGTTCAGAAAATTCAGTTTAACAGTCATAACATTCTTATTCTTTAATAAAACATACAAGTGTCAGTACTCATTTTCTTAGTTAGAACATTACCCATCTAATGGAAGTAATTTCAATTCACAATTTGAAAAAAAAAAAAATGTTTTTGATTTTTTTTCCGTTTGTGTGTCCATGGGAAAAAATAGATCTATCGATACTTTTAGGCCTTTGATATAAAAAACATGCAAAATTAAGTCTTTGGGAGCTTTTTGATTCTTATAGATTTATTATTCATCAATAAATCGGCCATTTTGTTTCCAGAATCACTAACCAGCCTTGTTGCACTGTTGTACTTAACCAGTGGATAAATACGCAATCCACTGGTTAGGTAGCCAGTGAACTATCCAACTATTGAACAATGAAATTTTATCCACTGGATAGCTGGCCGCTGGTTAAGGATTTAACCAGTGGATAAGCTATCCTTGGTTAATTTTTAACCAATGTTTTAAACAACTCGGTCCAGGTAACAACTTTTGCGGTATCTGATATCTAAGTCATACGTTAAGTTACGTAAACAGATTTCTATACTCCTTGGACTTGCATTGCGTCCATCCGAGCATAAATAGATGATTCATGTATAAAATCCAGAGACATCTGCTCATTAAACCAATAATTGTTTCAAATTTATTTTTTCAACTTTCCATGAGGAAAAGAAAGGCACATGATAAACGGAATTTCCAGTAAATGTCCCTCTAATATTATTGGTGGCGTCGAAGTGATAAATAAGTGGCACAAATTATTGTATATGATATTTTATAATGTTTTCTTTTAAGTATTTATCGATTTCATCTTTGAGTCAATATCGCTAAAAGATGTCAATTTTACATTTAATGCAACTTTAATTTTTTTTTTTTTTTTTTTTTTTTTTTTTTTTTTTTTTTTTTTTTTTGGAACCACGTTTAAGGCCCTTTTATTTACTTTTCCTTTTTACATAATACATTCATTTTACATTTTTCAATTAATTATTTTACATAACATACGTTACAAACTAATATATATGTTGTTGTAGACATTTTAAAATAATTTCAATGAGCTTAAACGTGAATCTCTTTAAGAAAAAGTTAAGAGAAAGGATATTATATTTTAAACAAGATAGAGTTTTGTTAAATTTATTTATTTAAGTTTAATGCAACTTTAATAAACGACTTATCTAGTAGGTTTCATTGACTATATTCTTTATTGATATGTCAGTACAAACTATGATTAAGGAAGCTATCCAGTAGTCTAAAAACGTCGGCGGTTCTACTCGGGTGCCTGAAATAATGCACGGAAGGGCACCTGAGATCTTCCTCCATCAGTAAAGCTAGAACCTCGCCATATGACCTTTACTGTGTCGCTGTGACGTAAAACTCAATCAAACAAACAAACTATGATGGTACAATGATTACAACGTATACCAGAGCACATTTTAATTGTGTACTGCTGAATCAGTAAACTAAGAAGATAAGTTTGAAGCCTTCTGTAAAGAAAAGAAAAAACTCCTCACAATTGATTGAGGCGATTCATACATGTTAAATCATTACTTACATACATATTAAAGCAATTGGAATATCTGGGTTCAGATTATTAAAAAAATTCTACAATATTATTTCGAAATAAATTTTGCACAAATATAATTGCTTTTTTATCACTAGAATAGCGTAATTGTAGGGAAGACAAAAAATTAAATGAATAAATAGGAATTTGTTTTATTTTGTGTAATATGAACTTAAAAAAACAGTATTATCATGAGTGGCGGCGACGTGAGGAAATAAAAATGCATCTTACATAATAAGAAACAAAACCAATTTTTCTCTTTATTCTTTGCTCAAATACACTGTTAAAATGAAAATTTCTTTAATATTATCTTAAATATAATACACATGATTCCACTGGTTTAGCCTCACTATAAAATGAATTTCTTATAACAACAGAAAGTCTTAAGCTAAAAAATGACTTCAAAAATAAACGTTTGTGATTGTGATGTTTAATAATGTTTTCAAAATTATGACTGATCGCTCATTTTAATAATAAAAATCAATAATTGTAGAAGATTAAAGAGTAACATCATGGTGAAACTGAGGAAGAACATAATTATCAGCAATCCAAAGCGTCTGCCATTTCTACACGTTGTGTATGTCACATGAGAAAAGAATAAAATGCGTTACGGTAAGATGACCCTAGATTGCTCACCTGACCCATCGAACTCATCCGAGCAATTACCTGGACAAGCATTCTGACCAAGGTTCATGAGAGGTGAGTCAAACAATTGACGACTAAATTGTTAACAAGGGTTTTTAATGTTAGAGTACGCTCCCTTCGCAGCTTACTGAATACACGCCCGTTACTTCAGACCGCTGCTTTAAAACGCGCCGATTCATGATATTGACCTTTACAGTGAACTTTGAACGACCAATGAAAGTTTTCCAAAATCCAATTCGCCCGAAAATCTTTATACGCATTTTCATTGGTTGAAACAGATGACGTATGTATAAAATTATAAATAGACGGGTAATTCCTCAAAATTTTGTAAACAAAATGGCGACTGTTAACAATTCAACTTTCGATAAGCTTGCAAAACGTTTCAATTATGGATCCATTAAACCGTTTCAAAAGGCAGTGGTACAATCTATCATTGAGCAGAACAATGACACTTTTGTGTGTGCAAAGACATGATCGGGAAAGTCTCTGTGTTTTCAAGGGTTTATCCTGGCTGTACTATCTACCGGGAGTGTAAGCTTTATTAGGCCCACCATCATATAATACAGAAAAAAATCTAGGATAAAATAGTTATTTTCTGTAGAAGGTATATTTTTTGATGAAAATAACAATCATCCAAAAGAAAATTTAACTATACATCAAAAAGATAGTTATGTTAATAACCTCATATGAGTGGCAGCCATTTTTGTTTTTAAGTACTTAATACCAGGAATGGCTTTTAAGCAATCAATAAAAAGTTAAAAACATATGTAAAAGGTCCATTACTGTTAATGATACTAAAGTTTTATTCAATATTTATCAGTTATCACACAGTTAAAGGGTAATAATTTGATAAGCATTGCACACACATTCAAAATATCATGTTGGGTCCAAATCTTTAGCAATATTACTGGTTTTTATACTTAAAACACATTTATGTGAATAGCGTCATTAAAACTTTGAATTTTCTTCAAAAAATGCTATGTTTTGTATGAAATTAATGTGAAAAACACTTGCATACAAAATAATTTTTTTATGTAAGTATTGTTTGTAATATCTGGACATTCCCGGTACAAAGTACCTCCCGGTATAAAGTACCCTGAGGATACATATTTATTTAGTGAACTTGGTGATTGTTTTGGTATTTTGCTGATGGAGAAACAAGTTTGGGAATTAGACAGATTTATGCCACTTACATAGATCAGCGAAAATGGGGATATTCGTAGAGGAAAATATCTGTATTCTGTTCGACAAAGTACACACTGTCATGGTATGTTTTTCATTGTTCTTTTCACTTTTGACTAGTAAGAAACATGCTTTTCATTAAATTCTATATGTCAAATTTTAATTATATGTACAAAGGGTGTGAAGCTAAGATTTCTTTTTGGAAGTGGCAAGGCTAGTCGTACTGCTAGACAATACAGTGTGTCATATATGACCCGTAATTGTGAACTTTTTTGATGATCAAGTGGGAGATTTTTCTTCAAAAGAAGGGAGATTTTAGAATTTTTAAGAAGGAAGTTCTGACATCAAATATTGGGAGATTTCTTTAATTTGTGAAAATATATACCCCTTATTTTAAGAAAAATCTTTAAAAATATGGCTGCAGAAAGTGGGAGTCTCCCGCTAAAAGTGGGAGAGTTCACATGTATGATGACCCACATACGGCAAGAACTTTTGTCTAGCCACTTTCTATCTTATTTTCTATTTGTTGAAACCTTTATATTGTTAAATAAGCTTTTCATCAACTAAGCAGGTGTCAACTCAGCCCAATATTATCATGATTATTTGTATAATTTTTTTCTCAACATTTTATTTCATTGATAGAAACAATAATGATGTATCATTGATATTTTCCTCAAAATTTCTGTCTATCAATAATGGATACTGTATCGACACATTAAAAAACATTGATGACATTATAATTAAATGTCTAGAAATAAGGAAAATTCACCCAAAAAAGGTGCCCATGTCTTACAATATCTGTTAATTGTTACTAGTGGACAAGTGCTACATCATCTGTACATGTCATAGGGTGAGAAAAATGCAGTCTGACACTGGACCCTCTACCAACTGAAATATACTGCTGCTTTCACATTTTCTCAGTGCAACTGGGAACAGTTCTGAAACATGATATACATGATTCTCAGCTCTTGAAGTTTTTTCTCATGTAACAGAGCAATGTGCATTAAATTTTGGACTGCACCAAATGTCACAGGTTGAGAAAAAATTGCAACCTGATCGGGACTCAAACCAGGGACATTTGAAACATGTTTCCATGGCCCTACCAATAGCCCTATCCATCTGCTCACACATTTTCTCTCCTGAACATTGAACATTTCTGAACTTTGACATTTATTTACTTGCTTCAAAACTAAATATAATCTTAATATGAATAAATAAATATATGTGATATATAAAATATAATGAATGAGTACAAGCTGCTGATCATTTTGCCAAAAAAATCATATTAAAGCAAGCTTTTAAAGTTTATTGTACTTAATACATTTTTTATACATAAATATACATATTACACTTATTCATGTGACGTCAACCTGGATGTTGTGGTCACCTGTCCTTAATTTTTTTTAGTTTAATTCCCTTACTGGCCACTACAGACAGGTTTGACTGTAAGTTAATATTAATACAGTACATGTACATGTTTGTATAGAGTGATTTTTTGTTTAAACACCGTGGCTTCCTGAGGTGAAAAATATAGCAGGATAAAGGGTGAAATCCTGAAATCAAATTCTTGAATCTGAGAACAAAATAATAAATTTACACACACATTTTATAAAATTTTCATTTCAATTTAACATGCATGGTACATAGCCGAGACTATCTTATATATATAGGGACAGCTTTCAGTGAGTAAGATGTACATGTATCATGTACCTGATATAAGTCAGCTGCTGTTAAGACATGCTTATGGAGAAGGCTATGCACAGTGCATTTCTGGGGAAATAGCATTTTTAGGGGAAAATATATCAAAATATACCTATTTTGGACTTGGGGAAATAACCTTTATTTAAATATTGGGGAAAATCACTGATCAGCATGAAATAATTTTGTGATGTACATGTGTATATATATATATATTGTCAATGACAATTTGTCATATTGTAATATGGGAAAACTTATTTCTAAATATTATACTATGAATATGTCATAAATTTGAAGATTTTCATTTCAAACTGGAATATAGAAAATTAAGTAGCCATCATTTCATACAGTGGTATTATTATAATTTTATAAAAATTATAATTTGAGCTGCGTCACGACAAAACCAACATAATGGGTTTGCGACCAGCATGGATCCAGACCAGCCTGCGCATCCGTGCAGTCTGATTAGGATCCATGCTGTTTGCTATAGGTTTGTAAGCAAACAGCATGGATCCTGATCAGACTGCCCGGATGCGCATGCTGGTCTGGATCCATGCTGGTCGCAAACCCATTATGTTGGTTTTGTCGTGACGCGGCTCATTTTTAGAGCCATAATTTTTTTTTTCATAAAATTTATTTTTGTCAATACTTGTGATGTTTGGATGATGTTTAAGGATTTTGGGTTGTAGAGGAGGAACAGGGGTATTAAGTGTAAGTCCTGGCCATGCGATGTTCACCTGGGGGAGTAATTAGGCTATTTTTGATAGTTTGCACAAATATCTGTCTTTTCACATAATTACAGGCTGCCTCAAAAACAAAGTTACTATTAAAGTTTGGCCATGATAGCTAGAGGGATTTTACTATTTCCAAATGTAAGGTGCTTATGGGGTATTGAAAGTATAAATTAAACAGTAGCTCAAAGGAGATACTTTAGAAGATGATTTAATTTCAAATTTTAAGTTTCCGCATTTATTGAATAAATAAAGTTTAAAGTAAGTTTCTGCATTTTGACAGATTTCTGTATATGTTTAATGGATCAACACCATTCTTCTGAAATTAAGGTGGACTATATATTTTGACATTTATTAACATAAAGTTGGTTATTTTCTTTAAAGAACAGGATTGTTACTGTATAAATGATGTTTTCATACTGTTCAATTCTTATATACATATATAATTGAATAAATGTCATAATTTCTGTTTTTTAGGGTATATGACAAGAAACAGAAAGATGTGTTTCATCCAGTGTTCACAGGGGTTGAAGAGCTTTGCTAGCACTTACAGCTAGAGCTAGTCCAACAGATTGTGCCAAATACTGTAAACATTGTGTACTAAGTACATGTATAAAAATAACCATTAGAAATAGTACAGTTGAACTCCAAGGCATAAAACATAGAAGAAATCAGTGATCAAAGTATCTGTGGATCTGAAAGCCTCTTGTAAGTCACTAAGTGGGAAGTAAATGTTATGAACAAAGACTTATAATGTGATTTACATGCATTTACAGAAAGATAAAATAAGGATTTTTGACCTTGTTTATTTATTTTAAAATAAAATTGGGATGGAGAATTATGTGACATATTACTACAGCAAAGATCAAATCAAATCATCAATCAGAGCCAAATAGCAGTCTTAAAGTCTTCACCACTGCAAAAATGTTGAAATATGGTTAGACTTCAATACTTGTACAGTATGGACCATCATCAGTATATGATCAGATACCTGCATTCAACATAGAGATTAAGTTTAAGATGTGTTGGAACACTTTCTCATGGAATGCTTTAATTACTTTATAGTATGTGTAATTTCAGGTCAAGGTTTTGCCCAGATTTTGCCCAAAATGTTAAGTTTTGTGAAAGGCGACAGCCTTATGGTGACATATTCATGAAAACTACATATGTATTGGTGCTGCAAGTTGTGACCTTTATCAAAAAGATGTAATGATGGAAATTTTACTGGTCATATGAAATACATGTGCATGTGCAATTTAAATTTTATATATTAATTAGAATCTTTAGTTTCCTATCAACACTCACATCAAATGGCTGTACTTAGGTTTAAAATTCTGGCATCATTTTCCATGAAATTTAGATCTTTTCTTTTACAATTTTGTAATTTTTGATAAATTTTAAAATTAGCTGTTTCTGAAACATGAAAATTTACTGTGTGAGATATTGTGTAATGCATTAAGGATGTAACAAGTTGAATTTTGTTGACTTTATTTTCTGCCCACATCAGGCACCAGTATTTTGTGAATGATATCCCCTTTATAAATTTGAATATTTGGGGTATTTACAGCATCTATGTTATTACTGTTGCTTACCCTAAATGAGATAGCACCTTTAATTAATTAACAATGAGTTATGTCTAATTTTTTCACAGTCTTGAATAAATGTAGATCTGCAGGAAATGTTATAATTACATTGTAAATGATTGCATTTGAACTGGGGGCATTTGTTTCACATTAAGCATCATATCATATAGAACAAGCTGCATAAATCCTGCATAATTATTTTTGTTTAGGAATATGGTTCCTGATCCTAAGTTAGATTTTTTAATTCAACTTGTAATGTCTGAACTTACAGTTTTGCTTTACATGAAATTATTTATGGGATATTTGTCATTCATGACAACATAATAAGACTTGCAGCATTTCTATACTAAGCATGAAATATCTTCTAGTGAGTGTTAACCAAATAAATTTTGTTCAAATAAAAGCTCGGGGACAAAATTGGCCCTGCCCAGAAGGGGGTCATTGTTTTTCCCTTAATGTGTAAAGTAAAAACTTAAAAAAAAATTAAGAGCTTGAACTTAGATATTTATCTTGAAAGATCTTCAAATGGGTGTCTACCAAGTTTGATCAAATAAAAGCCCCTGGGTTAAAATTGGCCTCACCCCGGGGGGGGGCCTATATACAGGTGAGCGTCTTCAGGGCCATTATGGCCCTCTTGTTTTTTTCTTGTGAATGATTTTCTATGTCATTATTTGAGAAATTATTAATTAGTTAGCTTACATACTTGCTGATAAAGCTTAGAAATCCTAAAATAGTTTACTTGGTACAAGTAGATGAAAACTGATCTACCTTTAGTGTCTACATGTAAGTTATTTCTGATTATATTTGAAGTAATGCTGGTCACATGACTATTGTGGTTAAAATAAAAACAAATTTGAAAGAAATTTGTTAAATTATTACCATTGATTTACCAAAAATAAGATAATAATCTGTAGGCTCTTGCTTTGATTTAATGCATATTTAGTAAACACTGTACAATGTAACAATGTGAATGGGAATCATGATTTCACTGAACATAGTAACAATATGACTGGGTATCTGACTCAGAAAGTTTAATATTAAACCAGTGCTGAAGACACAAATTGTACTCTAAAACCTGAAATTAAATATGCATTGCCTACTCAATAACTAGCTTATACCAACCTATTTATATTTAGTGTTGGTCAAGTTTGATCTTGCTGTTATTCTATTGTTACTATTGACTTAGGATGTTAACTTCATAGGCAGAGAAATATTTGTCAATTTATCCCTGTGATTCTGAGTGACCTTACAGCCAACTTATGTACTCTTTTTTTTTGTTATGTTTATGTGATCAAACCTTGATACATTATATTTAGGACTGTGGTTATACATGTATGTTAAATCAATAAAATATTGCATTTGTAATTTCATATACACATTGTTTTGAAAATCAAGACTTAGAGGTATGAAATAAATTCATTGATGATCTACAGTGCAGTTATTATTTTTAGCTAAACTATTTGAAGAAAAATGGGGCTATCCTTTACACCTGGAATTCTTCATCAGTGTAACGTCTTAACGTTTTTCGTGCAACTAATGGCTTGCACTTCACCTTGGTTTGAAATCTGCATTATTTCATGTGTAAAAGACTTTGCACACTTTATGGGATCATAAAAATGGTCACTTTCAAAGGCCAGTAACTCTAGCATGGATTTTGACAGAAGTATGACCCTCTAAACTTCTGATTTAATACAGGTTAAAGTTTTGCCTGCAAAATTAATCTTGCACTTTATTTGTATGTTTGTTTTGGGTTTTACGTCACATCGACACAGTATAGGTCATATCGCAACATTCCGGCTTTACTGGTGGAGGAAGACCTCAGGTGCCCTTCCGTGCATTATTTCAGGCACGAACGGGCACCTGAGTAGAACCACCAACGTTCCGTAAGCTAGCTGGATAGCTTCCTCATATGAAATAATCCAAAGTCCCTGTCGGGATTCGAACCACACAGCGGTGAGGGGAAAGTGGGTTGAAGTCAACACCTTAACCACTCGGCCACAGACGCCGCGAAACTTAATAATAGTATACCTTGGAGGTCACTGTCAAAGGTTCATTAACTTGTGAACATAAATAGAATTGCAAGACTTGATCATATGTATATAAATGATAATATTCCTTAGTTAATTCAAACATTTTCAATTAAGTTCTGAGAATAGTTAAATAAGAACAACTGTTCTATTGACAGCCCTTGTTGATATTAATGGACAAGCTTGTGGTTGCTGTGGTAGTCTCCTGATTGACTACAATATTATTAAGTAGAATAGCTGAATTTCAAATGAGTAACCAATGCAGTTTTACTATTGATGTTTAAAATAGTGTTGGTTGACTTTGCACATATCTGCATGTAGTAGCCTATATATATATATGTCATTTTGCACATACATGTATCTATCATGACTGTACAAAACCTGCCCATCCATGGAAAAAACACAGGGTATGAAAGTACGTCACAATATGATCTTGGATATTCTTAAAATGGCCATCAATAAAGCTAGATGATACTGACTTTGTATGTAGTGTTCTATATAAGATCAGTCAAATTAATAATTTTTAAATTACTTTTTGTGCATAGTGTACACCTGGTGTAATGTTACAATAGCATGTGATAACTTCTTCCGCTTTATTCATACATATTTATAAGAATGGCTCTGTTTTTTTCGAGGGATTGGTTGAGTTACTGTCGAAATGCTTCTGGTCATCTGAGAAAATATAAGAAACTAATTTTAACGGCCTGACGTGGACTTTCTTGCAGCCAGAATATGCATGCGGACCATTATTCGTATTGAGCTACCGTTTACGTAGATTCCATTACAATTGACTATCTATAAATAATATATCATCGCGAATTTACCATTTTGGTCGTTTAAAATAAACAATTTTAAGTAAAGTACAAATGAACACGCATTGTTTACATTACGGTCCGTCAAATTCAGGTATGTGACAATTCGTTACAAGTAAGCTAGTCACTGATTGGCTGAAGTGTAGACACGGATTTTCCTGTCTAAAAATAGAAATATCGCTCTGAACCTACAATTTTAGCAGAGGTAAGAAGTGAGCGATAGTGGAACATTCGACCGATGCGCAGGAGAGTAATGTTAGAGCAGTGTGACCTAGGTTTTGACCTCAGGTGATCCATATTCAAACTTGACCTAGAAATCATCAACACAAACTTTCAGTGATCTAAATTTTCACCCGAGATGACCCATTTTCGAATTTACCTGAGCAATTACCTAGACATGCATACTGACAATGTTTGATGGCAATTGAGTAAAAAATGTAACCACTAGAGTGTTAACAATGTTTTCCAATATTTGGGAGCTGTGACCTAGTTTTTGACCATAAGGTACCCATATTTGCACTTAATATAGAAATCATCAAAACAAACTTTCAGACCAATTTCCAGGATATTCGGATTAAAACAGTAACCACAAGAGTGTTAACAAGATGTTTCTATTTTTAGCTCCTGTGACCTAGTATTTCATCCGAGATGACCAAGGTTCGAACTGATCCGAGCTATTACCTAGACAAGCATCCTGACAAAGTTTGATGATGATTGAGGCAAAAATTGGACCGCTAGAGTGTAAACAAACACGTGTGGACGAGCGACGGACAACTGATGACAGACGAAAGACGATCGACGACGGACAACGGACGACGGATATTCAACGATCCTAGAAGTTCACCTTGAGCTAGCTCAGATGAGCTAAAAACATATTCGAGGATTGTAACAGACAATAAATAATAGTTTTCATTCAAGAAGCGACTAAGAATTTTGAAAACATGTTGAGTTTTTTTTTTGAAAGGTGATTTTATGAACGCTATATTATTATTATTTGTCTTTCTGGCTGAGGACTGCCATAACTTTTATACTTTGCATTACAGTTATTGCTCGTCGGATACATAGACATGACCAGGTGTCATTAAGAGCAGATGTTTGTATAAGGAAGTGTAATTTTCGGACTGATATGAATGAAACTAAGCATCAGAGTCGTGTTTGGTGATCGGTAAATTAAATGAACTACATTTGTATCCTTTTAAATGCGTTTTAAATCTAGTTATAGGTTGTTGTTCTTATTATAAATGTAAGCACTTTTGCTCTAAACAGGCCAGATTTAGTTCTAATTGCAAGCGACAATAAAAGTGAGATACTGCATGAGGAAAATCTTCATAAAACAGTTTCTTCATTGACAAGTGAAAAATTATATTTTCAAATTGATAATTTTCACGCTGAATTTATCAAATATAATTTTCACGGATAAATCAGTAATTCATTCGAAAGCTTAAAATAGATAATAATAAATATATTTATATGGATGAATGTCAAAGGATTCAAGTTTATATAATTGCTATGGTAACCCACTGATATTGATTGCAGTACATAGTTACATGCATTCATACTTTAGTTGAAAGTCTGGGCATGTTTTTCAATAATCATCATTTACAGTAATACAAATTGCTGTTATGGAAAATTATTAATAACATAATAATAATATAAATATAATTGAAAGCAATTACTTGATCGATTTTGCAAGAGTAGTTGCATTTAGCTAAGCACTAAGCAGTTAATAAACTTATTTAACTATAATTTCAAATCAATTTCAATTGCATACGACGTGTATATTTCATAAGTGCCCTTTTATATAAATTAATATGAACGTTAACCACTTACATCAATGATTTTCAACTCTTGAGCATCAATATTAAGTTGATAAGAATCAATATTCATAAGTGCTTTCTCGTCCTGATATTCATTTGGTAACTGTAGCGTACCTCAGGTACTGTTCAATGTCATTTATGTTATCAGCATGCGATCATTTCTACTTATTTTGTTTCTGTTCTACTAAATGAACATCTTTATTCACGGACATTCTGTCCATATGTTGTTATGAATATGTTACACGAATTGATATATAAGTTATTAATATCAATTTAAGCAGGAAGTAGTGAACAAGTTTTTTTTATATTTATTTTTCATTTAAAGAATACAAAAGTGAAGAAAGTATATGGTTCTTTATTGAAAAATACTAGTTTTCAACCTTATATGTGTTCTGCGGGCTGGCTTATAGATTAAACAAGCAAATCCGTTGAATGTATATCCCCGCGAGTACTTGTTATTACTAACACAACGACTGGATACATAAGGCTTTATTTATTATGGCATAAACAGTAACAAACAAAAGCCTGAAGGGCCACAATGACTTACGGCTTTGATATGATAAAAACACAATCTCTGTTGCGCCAAGAATATTTCCATTTTGCGGCAATCTTACCAGTATAGAATCCTTTAAAAAAACCTATTGCAACTATTGATAAATGTTTCACTCACTTAATCTTTTTTATTTCTTGCATTAAGTCTGTTGCGCTCGTTGTGCCCTAAAATCCCTTTGCGTATTTTAGTCATACCTACGTTAGAGTTCTCTGCCCTTCATATGAAACTGAACTTAAACATGATGATTTTGACATGTAATATTATTCGCATTGGGTTTCGAGTGTATCTAAAAATTGAAATAAAATTGATTTATAATAGTTACGATTAATTATAACGACAATTATTTTGTAGATACGAAAAAATCTAACTGAAAGATATTTGCTTCAAATCACAAACAATAAACTTTACAACATTTGAAGAGAACTGTTTTGTATCGCCCATGTTAAGAAATAGTGAACTCTTTGCCTTAAAGATTATCCAGTAACTTAATGGCCGTAAGTCATAATAACATTCAATTGATGAACAAGGGTTCGTCAGATCAGCAGAATATAAGAATGAGACGCCTTTTTTCGTTGTGTACTGCAAGTGCATAAGCAAGAACACCGGGAACTGTTTTCTTACATCTGGTACCGTCTTCCTGTCTGTGATGACAAATGTGGAAGGAACTGGTTTTATTGGAAGTACAGTAGAACTTCTATGAGTCGAACTTCGATTAGTCGATTTTCTCGATGTGTCGAAGAAAAATGAAAGTCCCGATTTTTTCCCCTATATATACCTTATAGAAACCTATTTATGAGTCGAGATTTTATGTGTCGAATTTTTCGATGTGTCGAAGTTTTTTCGTTGTCCATATAAAGTAAATCTAGTGCAATTTACCACAAATAAGTCGAAGTCGTTCGATAATTTTGACACCTTTTGTAACTCTATTGTATACGTTAACGGGTAGTCCAAATAATTAGCCGTAAAAAAAGTTATTTAACATTCTATATTTATCATTGTATAATGTAAAATATCAGATTAATGATGGAAAAACATGAAATAAGTTTCGTTATAGATATTATAATTAGAAGTAGTCACGGGTCGAAATTTTGTCACGGAATTGAGAGAAATTCATGAGTCGAAGTCCCGATGTGTCGAAGTTTTTACGCAAGTCCCTTCAACTTCGACTTACCGAAGTTCTACTGTATATGTCTTAATCCAGATTTTCTTGTTTTTTTCAGC